TTAAATTTGGCAGTATAATGAATTAAGTCTTTCTGCACCTTCGATGTCTTTTTGCCGAGTGGGACCGAAAAGAAACTTTTAGTTTTGTGCACAGAAAAATCTGCCTTCTTGCCTAAGGCCGAATTGCTTATTTTTGCATAGAAACTGTAATTTTAATTGTTAAATAATAATAATAATAATAATTGTTTTACTTGCATTTGGTGTTTTATGTTTTTATATATCTTTCAATTTTTAATGAAGATATTTTGAGTTTTTGCGCTTTTTTGCTTTGCCGAGATGTGAGAACTGAATTAATTGAATCAGAAATATAATCTCTAATGAAATTCGAGGAAATAAGTTTAAATGAATCGCAGGAAAAAAATGCGTATAATTTAACGTTCCGTAGAAGAAAGTCATGGGGTGTACACATCAATTTTTTAATTAATATTGCTGTTTATAAACAAATATAAATCATTTTTACTACTGCTATTCTGCGTTAAGAGAAGTACGTTTCTACGTTATATAAAAATCTTTCTACTCTTCACTGAAAATATTTTCTCCGGCTAGAAAATAAAACATTTTTTATAAATTGCCCCCCACCCAAATTAAAAAAAAATGCTCAACGATTAATAACATTTTTATTTCATTCTCACTAAGTGCTTACATGTGACAAATCTTATAAAAAGTACTTACAATGACTTTAATGAATTTAAAATATTTAGTCGTGGTATCACGAGGAGTCTGGCCACCCCTGATTTTCGCCGCAAGCGTACTTTTACGCGCTGTAAGGAACGGCCCTGGCTGGTTTAAAAAAGAGTAAACAGAATTCTAAAAATGATGTTATGATCTTTAGAACTACAAAAATAGTTTTTAAGTAAAGAATTACGTTTTTTAGAGTAGTGTTTTGTTTTGTGTTTTTAAAAGTATAACCACAGACTTTTCTCTACTCTCAATCCGTATGTAATTTTAGGAAAAGAATAAAAACAAGGGAAGATGTAAAATTTTTATTTTTTTGTGAAGAGAAATTTCAAATTAGTCACTAAAAATATTGTTAAACAGCTAATGTTAGTAGAATTATAAATTAAATTGTTTTATTCCCCGTGCAGTGCAGCGCGTGACGAATATTAGGAGAAAGCTAAGCCGGAAAATTAAAAATACACGAGCACATGCATTTAACATTTAATAAATAAATATCTCTTTTCGATTTCGAGAAAATACCAGAAAATTCACGTGCATTTAAAAAGTTTTATAAAGCGACATGAAAACCTCTCAATTCGTTATTCAGTTAGTTGTGTTTTCAGAGTTTGTTTAGAAAACTGCTCTTGTTGACTGTAGCGAATTCGCGGATTAGCTTTCTCTAGCTGTTCTGAATTAAGTTCTGTTGAACGCTTGTGTAGTTAAAAGATAACTGCTGTGAGATATTGTAATTCTGTACAAATAGCTGAGGAAATTTAGGCATTTTTGTTTTATTTGTTGTGATAATAATAAATTTTGTTCATTTTTCATCGGACTTGTGCATTCAATTCAAACGAACCCGTACGCACGCAGCAATATGTTAGCTTAGCACAGTTTTGCATAAAAATCTATCATTTAATTTTTCACATGGTGACCAAAATACAAAGGTACACGTAACCCTAAATAATTTGCTTAATTCTAAACGTACAAAAATTCGTTTATCAGATACTGTCTGTTTCTCCCACTACAGGCCCACCAGCGGCCGAGCGGTAAAGTCGCTGAACACTGGTAGTTCAGTACGAGGTTCGAATCCCACGAACGGGCTGGCTGCATGGGCGTTTTCTTGGTTTTCCCCATGCGTAACGTGTATACGAGCCAGTTTCCCTTAGAAAGTCCTCCACAAAGTCATCCCTGCCCTTAGGCAGATAGCCCTAGTGTGCTTTGCCATAATTAAATACACCTCCACGCCACTTCTCCCACTGCAATTTGTAATTACATGCATCCATGAGAGGCGTGTTATGCGGCTGGCGAACCTGGCAGCCACCATGCTCCGAAAAGGCTCCATATGCACACAATTGTCTGAAATTACAAGATCTTACTAATTAAGAAACGATAATATTTATTATAATTGCCTAAATAAAATAATATGTTTAGCAATATATTTTACATAAAAGTAACAAAACAAAAATGATAGTTACATTCTAAGTTTCGTCACAGTCATCACAACTAATTTTTTCTGTTCTTACAAATTAAGTGCTGAATATTCCCGAAAACGACTACTGGTAGTTCCAAGTAATTTTGTGCTTCAACGGATGTGATCGCATTGATGAGAAAATGACTACACTTAGCTTAATCTTTTTGCTTTCGAAGAAATGCTGGTCAGTTTCAGATATTAAAGAAGTCACCTATGTGAAATGTTTCTATAAGTTTGGTTTGAAAGAATCACTGAAGATCTTCTATTGGCAAATCATCGCTGAGCTATTAGCAGTAAATGACCTTCCTCATTTTTTAATTATGTTTGGCAGTTCTATAAATAAAAATCGTTAATGACTGTTACAAATCAAACTGCTTTAGCGATTTAGATAGCTTTGTTCTCCTTAGTATTCGGATTCGCTACTTCGGTGCAAGTTGAAATGTGCATCGTTTATGGCAATATTCTTTTCGTTTTGGTGAAGATGGTTATTACAGTTTCACATTTGTTAAACTGGTAAGTAAAAACATTTATAATATTGTGTGAATATCTTTCGAGAATGAGGTATCATTTCAGTTGAATTAAATTTAAAAAAAAATTACCGTATTATGGAGATTAATGACAATTTCTAAATTACCCTATTTTGCAAGAAAATAAATATTTTTCCGTTCTGAAATTTATATGTTTCTTCAGTTTCGTTTCGTTAATAAAATTCGAAAATGTTTCGGGTGTTAATATTTTTACTTTTTATAAAATCCAATCTGCAATAAACAATAAAATATAAAAACTATATTATTTTGCCCCATACTTATCTTTAACTTATCTTTCATATTACAGCAACGTAACTGTCAACATATAAAAACAATATTTGTTTCTTAATAATATCTTGTACCAAGTTTGTTAACAATTTATATCATTAGTATAGTTAAATAATGTTTCGGATGGGGTGTATTATTTATCTTTGCTATAAATTTCTCTTCCAAGTGTATAGTATCAATTACATCAAAAATAAAATTCTCTAGCAGCTGGTCGTTGTCTACACGTGTTTCCCAATGAAATTTCTTTACAGACCGTTTTATATTTTGAGCAACATACTGGAACTTATTAAATGCTTTTAATATAGGATATAGAAGTGAATTTATTGGTGGAAAAACTTTTGTGGTTCTGGATCAAAATGCAATTAAACTGAAATTTAAAACTTTCCATTGAAAACTCGATTACCATTTTATCCTTCTTTTTGATGGCACATATATTAATACAATTGACTTGTATATGAAATTTTAATCTTATCAAATTATAAAGAGCATAATTCTAATCTTATCAAATTACAATGGTGTTAGAACCTTTATTTCTTGTAATTTTGTACTTATTAATTAAAATTATATTAATTAATTAATATAATTTTAATTAATAATAAGTACAAAAACTCTAACTTATATTTCAATAACCGCTATTGCGTAATGAATTTTTAACGTAAAAAAAGATGCGATTGCAATGACATCTTTGACAATTAAAGAACAGAATCATAGTCTCCCCCTCCCCCTCCCCCCAAAAAAGGAAAAGTACTTTTGATAAAGTAATGAAAGATCTAAACCTCTTTGATCCCGTGAAACTCCAACATCTATTTTCGGAACTTTTATAAACGGTGGAAAAAAATCCCACTTTTCTCGATGTTAGTGATTTTGACAAATATAAAATTAATTTATCAGCGTTATAAATAAAATTATCACAAAGGAAGTTATGTAAGCCCGAATTCTATTTTCAAAAGTCAACAATGACGAAAGCCAGAAGAAATTCGAGAACTTACAAATTTTTATTTCACAGGAAACCCTAGAGATGGCGCCATGAACTTTAATCAATAGTTCACTTATCAGCGGTGAGCTTGGCAGCAAAGAATTTTTTCTTCAAAAACTTTTGTGGAATTGGTTTGCAATTTGCAATGCAAAGAATTCTTTGCATGGAAACTTGTAATAGAAATTCTGTGATAACATCAGCAAGCTTTAAACAAAAACTTTCCGATTGTTGGAAATCGTACCAATGCTGAGAAGATGAAGCATACGGCAGTTAATCATTCCATAGCTTCTAAGGATCCAGAAACTGTCGCCTACACCAGAGGAATTGTGGGGCCAGATCAAAAAAGAAGGAACATTCCGGAATTATCCGTTGCTGTTGGTGTGTACTTCTTTTGTTTTTTCATATATATTTAATATTATTTCACGGACGATTTCTAAAGCATTATTTCATGTGATACTTTTTTTATTTCAAATTTCGGAAATGGAAGTTTTTCGTACATTTTATATGTGACATTTATTAGATGACAGACGGGTTTTCTTCCGCAGAGAGCCCGTTGGTTTTTTGCCATAGTGCCTCCATAATTTCTTAAAAACTTAAAATGTTTACATAATTCAGTATTAATATTCTGGCTTATATAAATCTTGGATCATTTTTGGTGTTGGCGATAATTTTCAAAGTCGCGCCAAGGCTGCACCGTCGGCTATTCACTGTGCAATATTGCAAATAGGATATGGTGTTAACATGTAAAAATTTTTAGTAATTGTTTTTGGTGCCATCCATTTCGGAAACACTGCTCCTTGGCGCTATTACTGTCGTGAAGAAAGAAAAAAAAAAAAAAAAACGGAGATACCCGACTGTCAATTTTCACCAACCTCTATCATAAAAGTTAAAACTTGTAAACTGGATCCGTGTTAGTGTATAAGACGTTTTAATTACTGCTGGGTGCTTGGCAGGGCATGGATATTTTTGTCGCCAAACCAATGTTATCAAACCGTTCTACCAATAAGCGATGATCTATTTTGGGGTTAATAACATTTTAAGTTTCAGTTCACGAAGTAACCGAGAATTTCATCACGTGTTGCGATATCATAAACTATATGAACTTCCCATTTAATTCGAAACGTGTCCAATCGAAACTGAAAGTTTTGTATCCTGTATTTAACCCATGAAGAAGCTGAAACAGTATTTTTATCGGCTATTCACTGTGCAATATTGCAAATAGGATCTGATGTTAACGTGTAAAAATTTTTAGTACTGTATATCACGTTCTAGTAACATACGTAATTCTATGAAATTTCTGAGCAGATATTGGGTAATGGTTGTCATAAAATAAATTGTATTTCTAAAGAATTAACGGTCGTCAGCTGCTGAATTTGGTGAGTATGTAAATATATATATGTATATTCTTAATTGTTATAATGTAGAACATTAGTAGAAAATTTAGTTCACCTCCCCGTAGAGTATGCGAAATTTAATATTTCTAGCAGTTATGAATTATTTATGTTCTTTTAAGAAGTGAATGAGAAATTACGTTTGTTTAATAATGAAATTCAATTAAAAATAATAAGGTAAATAATAGCAGAATTAGTTCAGTAATGAATAATTTTCTGTAGTATAATATAATGAGTTTCACGAAGTTATTAATAGCATATATAATTTACCGAAGATGTAACTTCCATATTCTTTATTGAATACATCTCCTCTGCATTTCTTGTATGCATGCGAAATTATTTCCAATATCAGATTATGAACAGTTACAGCAAAAAAGCAAGAACATAGAATATAGCAATACAATATAAAAAAAAAAAAAAAACTCTAACAGAGTCCATTAATCTAACATATATCTTGCCTTTCAGTAACGCTCGGTGAGAAAAGTCTTGCGCAGAGCAGGACAGTAGAGTAGATGTGCATCACCTCTCCAGAGCTGCACAGAGTGCATATTGGAGAAGGAACAATTGAATTATGGAGATGATATCGTAGGCAGTCATATCCGGTGGCAAGGAGGAATTCAGCGACCGCTCTATGCCTTGGGCCATTACACAAATTTGGGGTAGCATTCTTCGAAGACTTATGAGAAACATGATGATAGAGATCTTCCTGAGCACGTACACGAAATCTTTTAATAAGAGCCTCCCTAACAGTATGGTAAGGCAAAGGATGATAAATATTCTGCATGGTTTAAAGCACCTTTTTTTGCCAGGAAGTCCACGTTCTCGTTACCTGGAACCCCACAGTGGGCAGGAACCCACTGGAGGACTATAGTTTTCTCAAGTGATGCCAGGTTTTTTTTTAGATAATGTTGACAATCCAATATGTCCTGTGATTATGGGATTTTTATCTGAAACAATAGCCAACAGGGCAGCTCGGGAATCATTGAGGATAACAGCTCTTGTAAATTTTTCCAAGTGACATGGCAATTGGTACAGAGCTGTGCAAATCGCAGCAATTTCACCTTCAAACGCAGAACATCGGCTTACAAGGATATAGAAAGAGAACATTTTGGAGAAATTTCCGGCACTTGCATTAGGGCCATCAGACAGGAGGGATCCATCAGTAAAGATCCGAAGCCACTCTGGTTCAGGGTAAAAAATATTTAATACTTCGATAGCGAGGGCTCGCAGAATAGAGGCATCCGTATTACTTTTGGTTACTTTTTGACCCAGGTCAAGATTAATCCAGAAAGATTTCAGATTTATAGGATTTTGTTGTGGAACAAGTAATTCTGGGTCGTTCATTAAACCAAGTGAATTTTTTAACTGAAAAACTCCCTGTAGAAAGCCTATCTGGATCTTTAGATTTCTAATCAGATCTTGATTGACTTCATTCCAGAGTGAAAGACATCCAGGAACTCTAATTATCTTTTCCTAGAGAATTAAGGCCTTCTCTTGAATTGCGGTTCTTAAGTGTTTATCAGCAGTTAACAGAAACATGGCGTCAATCGGGGTGGTCTTCACGGCTCCAGAAATAATACGTAAGCACCAAGTTTTGGATTTTTTTCAAGGGTATAGAGTACATTTTCTCCGGCCACAACAAGTGGTTCACAGTAAGTCAAAAGGGGGAGGATAAACGAATGATAAGTTTGGAGCAGGGTTTATCTAGTGCAGCCCCACCTTGCCCAAGCAAGGCATTTAAGGCCGCTGAGTCTCTTCGTAGCACGGTTGGACAAGTCCTCTACATGTGGCTTCCATGTTAGTTTGCAGTCAAACATCACACCTAAATATTTAAATTTATTGCACAAGGGGATTTGGGTACTCTTATAAGTCAGCTGTAGATCCGAAGATTGGTGTATAAGTGAGAAAGTCAGGCAATATGATTTATTTAAGTTCACCTCCATATTATTAGTGCCACACCAAACTTCCAAAGCATTCAAGGCAGCAGAGAATTAGTCTCTATGTTTCTCACTGCACTCTAACTGTCCAGAAAACCAAATCATCAGCATATAAGTGGCACTTGATGCCAGAAATCTCTCGTATTTTAGAAATCAAATTAATATAGATGTTAAAAAGGCAGCAGCTGCTAACAGCTCCCTGTGGGAAACTTGTTTATAAGATCTTAGATTTCGATAGAGCGTTGCCGTACCTGACTCTGAAAGAGCGCTGGCACAGGAAGCCTCTAATCCAATTTAAAATATCCGATGCCTAGTCTCGATAGTTTCAGTAGAAGGCACTCCCACCATATTTTGTCGTAAAAAAAAAAAAAAAAAAGCTTAATATTTATTTGTTTACTTTATTAAACATTTCTTTCAACGCGCGCATGCGTAAAGCATACATTTCATATAGCCGAAATTACAAAATTGCAACCAGAAAACTATTTGATGTGTATTCGTGATATTTATAATGATGAGGAATTTGATTTAAGTCATATCAAAGACGGAGTACATCGAGATGAAGTACTATATTTAGTAAGGAATTGTAAGCCGAATAAAATAAAAACATCTGCCCTGAAGATATAGTTCTGACAGATCAATTTCCAGTTCATTGCGCACCGTGACGCCCCCCCCTTCTGCAGAGCAGCGTGAAATTGATAAACAGATTTCGGAATGGTTAGAGAAACAAAGGATATGCCTTTATCCATTTTTTTGCAGCAGTTCCACTTTTTGTTTTATGGACATCAAAACATGCTTTCGCTTTGTAGATCCTTTGGCAGTTCCAGAATCGGAAATTCTTTTTGACATAATTGAAAGTTCAAACTTACTTTTATAAAATTGCTCTAAGAGTCTGCAAAAAATAATAAGCAAAATCCAATTCGAAGATTAAGGAACAACGCAATCTGCAACATTAACTGAAATAGATAATTTTAGCTTAGCTTATACCATCCGTTATACATTAAACTCGCATGCGTAACCGCAATATGCGTTTACGCATGCGCAGAAAGTTTGTAGCTTTGAGGTCCGGATTATGGAAATTTGGATTAAAGACTTTTGAATGTACCAGTAAGCGATATTGGTCTATAGTTGCGGAGACTATCCCTATTTTTGTCTTTCATGCGTATGGGAATAATGATACAAGTTTGCCATTCAGCTGGTACAATACCAGTGTTCCAAATTAAATTGAAAAAGATCCAAACAGTATTATATGCTGTAGGACCAAGATGGGAGTGAAACGCAGAATGGATTCCATCTCCATCAGGTGATTTACAGCAAGGAAGGCTTCTTAGAGCATAAGTCAATTCATCTCGAGTAATGGATGCCTCAGAAACTGAATCAAATTCCGACTGCAGAGGTGTAGTTTTTTTTTTTTTTTGCTTTAATCCAGACGAATGTATTTTTGCATAAGTGTTTTTGTTATTAGATGTACAGAAATGCTGTGCAAAAGCATTTGCTGCAGAAAAATTCGAAGAAAGTTGTTTAACTATGAAGGTTTGTTTAGGTAAGCCAGTAGTATCATTCATTAGGTTGCCTACAAATTTAAATGTTCTTTTACTATCAGTTTGGTAATTTATATTTGAAATAAATTAATTAAATGAGGATCGTTTACTGGTAATACGAGCCTTCATAAAGTATGCAGATTGTTTCTCCAAGCCCGAACATCGCAGGGTTGGGAGGTCAACTTTGGCTTTCTTCTAAGCCTGTCTCTCTTAGCTTTCAGTGAGGTCAGTTCATCTCTCCAGAAATATTTATATTTCTTTTGCCTTCCTCTAGGGATGGACTTTTTAGCGCAAGATATCATTGTGGCCTCGATAATTCATTAAACTTCATTGGGATTTAAAGTAAAGCCAAGTTTTTCATGATTAAGGCCATGTTTCATCAATTTAGTAAAGAGAGGCCAATTCGCTTTCTTAAATTCCAAGAGACTTTTGATGGTGAAAAGGGCCTCCGATCCGTTTTGAGTATTTTAACTTTTGCAAACACTTGTCTGTGTCCTGATCCAGGGTCCTCCAAGATGCTATGTTTTGTAAGATTGTAAAGGTCTGATTAATAGACAGATTTTAGAGCAATTCAAATAAAGTATTTTAGCTGCCTTTATCAATGCTTGTTGTAATTTATGTAACTATCTTTAAAATGAAAACTTGATATCTGTAACAAAAGAGAGCATCAAGATTTTCATGAAGGGCATTGCGTTGAATCTACCTGAATATTATTTCATTCAGTCGTTCTCGACCTTAAATTAAATCTGACTCTATTTAATAACTCTTGAAAAGAAGTATTTAAAATAAACAATTTCATTTTTCTTGCTTAAGAAAGTCAAAACTTTATTTCGTACGTTTTACACACTTAAGGAAATCCAAACATTATTTTTCTAATCTTTCTTACTGTTGTCAAAAAAGATAAACAAAATGCTCTCTAAAATATAATGAAAACAATGCCCGTTGAATATTGTTAAGAAATATAAAATCATGCAGCTTGCAACATACTTACACCTTTTGATTTTCTGAAAAGGGTCTATGAAAATAAAAAAAAAAAAAAAAAAAAAAAAAAAAAAAAATGTTCTGCTCAATAGACTTGCACAGTACTCAATATACTCACAATATAAATTAAATAATAATACAGAACATATACTTAAAAACAGCACTTATAATGAGGTTTGATAATTTTTCTGCCACATCTAGTTTTTATTTCAAAAGCAGTCCTTTAAAGTCACTGTTCCTTTTAACATTTTCAAATTTATGAGGAATGATCCTTTTATCAGAAACAGTGTGCATGAAATTTCATTCAAGTTTTTTAGCTCTTAATAAAGTGTTCAGATTGGTAATTTCTAAAGGGTATAGCCATTGGACAGGGCATATGAGTTGTTCTGTTTTTACTTAACTACTCTCATGATTGTTCTTTCCAGGAAACACCTTTGTGTCTGTTACCCAAAGGCCAGAACAATATTTTTTTTGTTATCGCATCCAAGCAGAACAACTTCACTGACACTTATCTGTTTCAGACTGTTCT